GGTAATGTGCACATCCATGGATGCCACTTTTAACCTTCCCTCCCTGTTGACACTGCTTTCAATGGGTGAAACAACTTTTTTCTTAAATTGACATATTCGGAGCCATACACAGTTGTAAGAAATAATGCAGAGAGAACTCTTGCATTATTTCTTCACTCTTTACCATTTTCCCAATGGTAACATTGGCAAAACTATAGCATAATATCACCGTCAGAATATTGACACTGATACAAGTTTTACTTGTATTCATTGGTGCATGTTTGTGCATATATATATAAATTAAATGTTACACAATATCATCACCCCAGTAGTTCCTGTATCCACCACCAGTTAAGATCCAGAACGGTTCCAACATCCTCATGTTGCCCATTAATAAACACACCCACTTTCCCTCTGTGTCAGCATCTCCTTCCTCCTCTTCTAAAACTATGTCAACTTCAAAATATTATGCAAATATATATATATATGTTATATATATATAATATATATATTATATATATATATACACACACACACACACAATATGTAACCTTTGGGGATTAGCTTTTTTTAGCACAGAGCATAATTTATCCAAATTGTTGCATGTACCAACATGTACCCACAGTTCCTTCTCTTTTATTGCTGAGTAACATTCTATGCTGCTACATATTGTATCACAGTTTGTTTAACCACACACCTGTTTAAGGTCATCTGGACTGATTCCAGTTTTGGGTTAATATAAATAAATCTGCTATAAACTTTTGTGTACATGTTTTTGTGTGTGAACATAAGTTTTCATTTCTCTGGGATAAATGCCCAGGAGTGTAATTGTGCAGTCATATGGTAGTTGCCATGTTTCATTTCTAGAGAAAATACCAAAAACAACATATTCTTTTTCATAGTGACTGTAGCATTTTACATTATACCAGCAAAGTACATGTGATCCAGTTTCTTTGCATCTTTATCAGCATTCAGTATTGTCATTTTTTTAATACTAGCCATTCTTATAGGATTGTAGTGTGAAGCAACTTAAAAAAAAAAAGCCTTATAACATAGTTCTATTAGGAAAACAAATTTACATTTCCATAACAAAAAAAGACTAGTTTAAATTTCTACAAAAGCTTAGTTTAATTGCATGTAAGGGAAGCATGTTGTGATTGTAAATTTCACAGAGAAAACTGGAAAATAACTGTTAACCTCTCTTAATGTATACCTGGGACATCTCTTAGCCACAGGAGGGAGAATAAGGACAACAAAATAAAACAATTTGTGTGCATGATCTACTGTGATCCTGGAACGCCTTATCTACCTCTGTCAACACTTGGGTGAAATTGCATCATTGACAGTTCTTTCTGGTTGAGGCCCAGTTATCCTCAAGCCAAGAGAGGGAGCTTGGCTTGAATAAGGATGGTTTAGATGTCTGTTCTTGTAGTCACTCCCTTTTCAGCACCCCATATTAATCTCTCTTTTCTTAGATAAATTGATATCTCTCTCTCTCCTGTAAAGATAAAACTGAGAGAAAAGTCAATCTTTGTTAAGCATCCATTTTAACATCCACCTTACTAAGAAAAGAATATTTGCTTAAAATCCGTCTTACCCTCTAGTGCCTAATGGGCTCAGTATATATTTGTTGAATGAACCACAAAGTTCATATTTCAATGTTTGCTGGTGAGATGGTAAAGTGAAGGTTAGAGATGTGGGCTTTGGAGTCAAACACAACATGGTCATGGCTGTGCCTTTCCAGAAATTCATTAGCTTCACAATCATTCTGGGATGCAATTTTCTTGTCTGTGAATATTGTTTACTACACAGGGTCACGGTGAGGATGAGAGGCAATAATACACTGAAATATTTAGCATATGGCCACTCAGAGTACGTACTCAACAACTTTGGCTATGATTATTATTTCTGATATATGACTATTAGGCCACCAGAATGTAAGCTCCCCAAAATCAGTGAATAGATATAACTTTTCAAACTTTTGTCTTTGCCCCAGCCCAGAGCACAGAATTTGGCCCATTGTAACCAGCACTCAATATAAGTAAATATGTTGAATTCTATGCATCACATTGAGGGTAGCCTAATAACTGTGTGGCTGAAATCAGTACCTCATTCATTCATGGCCTGCAAATGAGTCAGTTCTGTGCATACAACGAATGCCACTGAATAAAGCATGTGGAAAATTCTGGCCCATGGCTATTGACCAAATCTGAACCAGCTATTTAGCAAGTGGAGTGAGCCAGGCATGGGAATGGAATTGACTATATTGTATCCCCCTTCCACTTCTGGAAAAGCAACTCTTCTACAGATGGTACTTTTTCAAGACACAGTTTAAGTTTCAGTATCTACATTCAGAGCAGTAGTCCATATATATATATATATATATATATATATATATATATAGTATTCAGTTTAGAAAAGTAATATAATAACATTAGAATTTGAAAAATAGAGGAAAAGAAGAAAGAAGAAAAGATTACCCTGGGTCCCCAAACCCAAATATTAATACTTAGTCATGTCTGTTCTACTCCCTGTGACTTGATTAAATGATGCCCCTTGGTCACTAGGAAGCCTGTGTGTCAGCACCCCCACCTCTGAAATAAGGACTGCAAACTTTGTTCTATAAATACATTTGAAAAGTACCTTGAAATTCTTACAGAGGACTGATTTACTGTGATAAAGGCAATTCCTGTGCCATTTCTATCCTGCTACCAAGGTCTTGCCTAGCCTTGCCTAGTCCTGATCAAATCTCCTTTACATTTCTTTCTAAACTTTCTGTCATTTTGTGGTAACACTTTATCTCTTTAGGGGAAAGAAGTGAAGGAAAAATGTAGATAAGCATAAAGGAAGACAAAGGGAGGACAGAGGAAAGAGGCAACAGTTGGATTTGAGAAAGCTCTGAGCTTATTGTTAGAAGATCTAATGCTACTCTGCCCATCTACAGAAGCGTGATTCTGGGTAAATGACTCAGTCTCGCTGTGCTTTTTCCCTCATTTGCAAAGTTGAGAGGTGTCAGTAAAGGAGGTTCATTAGGTGATTTCTAAGTGCATTTCACCTTTATTACTCTATGTAAGGGGTGCACAAACTGCAGCCAGCAAACCAATCCCTGTTACCACCTGTATCTGTACACCCATGAGGTAGCAATGGCTTTTATACTTTTAAATGGTTGAAGAAAAAAAAAATCAAGGGAATAATATGTTGTGACACGTGAAAATTATTTAAAATTGAAATTTTCTTACAAGTTTTATTGGAACACAGCCACATCTTTTTTTTTTTTAAAGACTTTATTGGAGAATTGGGGGAGGGGTACAGTGTTGGGGAATTGGGGGAGGGGACCAGCCAAGTTGTTGTTCTTCAATCTTTGTTGTGGAGGGCACCAGTCACCACCTGGCTTCCCATCAGCAGCTCGTGACCTCTAAGTTCAAGGTGTTGTGTTCAATCTTAGTTGTGAGTGGGTGTAGCCATCATCCCATGCGGGAGTCCAGCCAGCAGCCTTGTTGTTAAGAGCTCACGCTCTAGCCATGAGCCATGTGGGTGGCAGCTCAGCTCAAGGTGCTGAGTTTAGTCTTAGTTGCGGATGGGCGTAGCCCACCATCAAACAGGCAATCTTGTTGTTACACCAGCTGAGCCAGCCTGCCACCTGTCGACAGCTCAGTGACAGCTCAACTTGGGTGCAATGTCACTGGCCCATGTGGGAATTGAACCGGTGGCCCTGTTGCTCAGAGCTCGCGCTCTTAAGCCAACTCTTAACCACTGAGCCGCTCGGCTGACCCCCACAATCTTTCATTTGCATATTACCTATGGACAGTTTCATGCCAAGAGGGCAGAGTTGAGTAGTTGCCAGAGACCTCATGGCCCACAAAACCAAAAATATTTACTATCTAAGCCCTTTACAGAAAAAGTTTGCCTACATCTGCTCGATGTGTATATAGTATATACCTGCTTATTTTGGGTTGACCCATCTCTTTTATATGAGGTGTGCACTCATCAGGTAATTTTCAAAATGTTATTATTATAATGCATAATCCCATAAACTCTTCAGCTTCTTAAGAGGAGGGACTCAGTTTGTTTTGCTCTCAATTAGAATCCTAGTGCCTTCCACAGGACAGGCATATGGCAGGTGCTCAGTATTTGTTGTTGATTAAACATTTTAACACCAGTGCCAAGCTAGTAAATTCAAAACTCCAAAAGGAATTTCTTATCTAGTATAAACTAAGTTGCCTATTTCAGTAATTTAGATTTAAAAAAAATCATTAAAAACTTTTTGCTGACCAAAATTCTCCTTGCAAAACATCCCCCCAGAATTTTAAATATGCAATGAAAAGAGAATTTTTAAAAAATTGGAATCGTTTTTCTGCTTAAATAAAGCATATATGAAAAACACTGGTAAAATTGAAATGGCCTCAGCCTTTTACATCCGTGCGCCACGTTTTAAAAATGACGATTAGTAGAATCCAGGGCATGGTTGTCAGAAACGTTCTGCGTGATTTAAGCAGAGCGGCAAAAAAAAAAAAAAAAAAAAAAAAAAAAAGGCATGCATGTACGCCGAGCAAAAAGAGTGTGTAAGGAAAAAAAAGTAAAATTTTGCATTCTGTGCAATGTGTCGAATGTGAACGTATTGCACATCGTGTTGTAGATTTACTACAGCTGAGTCATTTCGGGACACTAGTGTGTGTTTCCAGAGAAAACGAGAGGAAGGAACCAGGATGAGGGGCTCGCCGGGTTCCCCCAGGCACTCCCAGCAGCAGGCACCGGTACGCCACGGCGGGAAGCGGAGTGGTAAAAAAAAAAAAGGCGCCGCGGCCCCTTTAAGAGGCACAGCACCTTTTCCAAGATACCATCTTGCACCAGGAGTTCACGTAAGCTCTCCACCTACCTTGCTATATCCTTGCTTAACTGGGTACGACTGGCCGGCGGGACGAGCGAGCCTTCTCATTGGCTTTGCGCGCACGGCCCTCTCTCTTCTATTGGCTCTTGTGCCCGCCACTCGGCGCTATCTCCCGCCCCCCTGAGCCGTCGCACTAGGTTGAGTGAGGGCTCTTGGGTTAGTTCCTGTTAGGCCCCGGCCGGGGAGTAGGTTGAAGTCTTCTAAGATGCCGGGTGGGCTGGGGCACTGAGCGCTGTGAAGAGGGCGTAAGGAGGCGGCGAGGGGAGACCCGCAGCAGGCCTGAACGAGAGCGGCGGCCGAGCCCGCCTTTCCTGCACCATGCTTATAGAGGATGTGGATGCCCTCAAGTCCTGGCTGGCCAAGTTACTGGAGCCGATGTGAGTGAGCCAGGCTGGGCCGGGGCCGGCGAACGTGTGCGTTGGGGGGCCCGCGGGGGCGTGGGGGGAGGGGAGGCGGCGTGAGGGAGGGCGCAGCCGAGGGGCCGCGGTCGGGAG